GTCTCCTCTGGTGTCCCCCTGGGCCGAGTTGGGTCGGGCTCAGGAAGGCAGTTCAGTTCACTTACAAGCCTGTCCAAGTACTGTGATGTCACAAAGCCCTTGACTGGTACGCACAGATGCTAAAATACGTTTAGCATTCCATCTTTCCATTTTCTTTTTGGTTTTTTTTTGATAGCAGCAGTACAACTTCTGCTCCAGGTATATTGAAATTGAAGATGTTTTTCCTCATGTGCAAGTATGACTCACATTGATGGCCACAGCTCAGCTCTGGAAGCACAGTTCTGTAGATATGCTACTATCCCTACACTCACCTCTGAGAATCCCAATAGTCTCACAGTACCAAAAGGCGTTTAACAGGGATGCCTCTCAGTCACCATGCCCAGTATCTACCACAGTGCCCACACAGCTTCAGCATACGTAACTGTGGATTTCTTCCCTTTGGCATTTTAGCAAATTTATGTGGTGGGTTTTTTTCCTTAGGAAGTACAGTTGAGGCACATACATACACAGTTATCTTTGAGAAAGTTAATACAACACATTAAAATCCTGTAAATTCAGTTGTGGCTTTGTTCAATCTTTTTATATTTTCAGACAGGTAAATTCTAGCATATAGCTGCCTATTAGTTCTGTATTCCCTTTGGAACACTGTATGCTTCTCTTAGATCCAGAATCATGTGTGAAGATAAATGCAAAGCACCTTTAGAAGTTATTCCTCCTGCAGAACAAGAACAGCAGCTCATACCTTCTGTGTCAGACCCTGAGCAAACACAAGAGGCAGCACAGTGTTACCTCCTCCAGGAGAAGAGCAGCTTACAATACAAGTCTTTTTCAGGCTTGCACAACCTTGTCTGTGCCTTTCTTTTTAAAAAGAAAAAAAAAGGGCCAAGCCTTTACTATTTTTGTTCTGCCATATTATTGTTCTCTTTACAATTGTACTGCTTGTGCTCCCAACACATAAAAATCAAACACCACGCTTTCTGTGGGCTAGGCACAGTGTATCAAAATGAAAACAGTTGTTTAATGAACAGTAACCTACATATTCCAGTGAAGTCTGTAAGAAATGATAGACTGAAGAGACTGAAGTCTTAAAAGTAGTTTTGTGTTCTGCCATATTATTGTTCTCTTTACAATTGTACTGCTTGTGCTCCCAACACATAAAAATCAAACACCACGCTTTCTGTGGGCTAGGCACAGTGTATCAAAATGAAAACAGTTGTTTAATGAACAGTAACCTACATATTCCAGTGAAGTCTGTAAGAAATGATAGACTGAAGAGACTGAAGTCTTAAAAGTAGTTTTGAAAAGTACACAGATCTCTGGAACTGCAGGGTTTCTATTCATCAGGAAAATGATTCTGAAAAATTCAGGGATATTTCAGATGGGTTGCAGGTCTATAAATATGATCACACCATTAGGAAAAGAAAAAGGAAAAGCTCCTACTCACAAGAATGATCTATCACAGTGACCAGGAAAGCAGAGTAGAGTAAGCTCCTGCCCCCTCACAGCTTCTGTATAGTATTCCTTTCACTTTGCTAAAGCTGCTGCTTAGAGGAAATAGGAGTAGCTTTGGTAAGCAGTCATCCCTGTGGCTGGCTGACATAATTTAGGACAGGCACTACATTGATTTTCTATTTCCCTTAACAGGTCACACACACAAAACGGACACACCAATTGATTGTTCATCTAAAGCAGAATTCATTTCACACAATACCATTTCTGCCAAGATGATCTGGAGTGCAACTAAGAGAACCTCAGTTGTGGACATCTGCTACTGCAGAGCAGCATATAACTTAGCTAAACTGCCAGGTACTCTTTAGACCTCTGATAGAATGAGTATAGGGCCACATTTTTCCTTCACTGATATGCCATGCAATAACCAGCAAGTCACCTGTTTTGTAGCTCTGTAACATTATGCAAAACACTGAAACAGATGATTACAAGTATGGGTATATATGTATATAAACCCTGTCCAGAATACCTTTCCCTATGAAAATGTTCTTTGCTACCTCACCAACTATATATTTTGAAAACAAATCCAAAAAGGTTAAAAGCATATTTCAGAACAGTTTGCTCTCTGAGCACAATAAAAAAAATCCCTCTGCTGTACAAAAAAATACTATATAAGCTTATTATAATTTAGGAATATGAGCAAAAGGAAAGTGTTTTATAACAGCTTGAAATCCATGGCGATCTCTCCTGTCTTTGTGTCGAAGTTTATAGCATATGTGACAGCACTAGGGTCTGACAGAGTTTCTGATTCAATAACAGAACTGAAAAAGTAGACAGCTTGCTTGCTTTTTTTTCCCTACAGGAGAAAGTTAAAAGTGAAAGCTGTCAAAGCTTTATGATATTATTACTATACAGTACCAATGCAGTCAGAGCTCTTGTTCCCAGTTGAGTACCCAATGATCAATAATCATCATTTACATTTCCATCACTCCATTATAGGAATACAGAACTTCAAACACCATGTGCTACACCACACAGTGAAGTCACAGAGGAAAAAATGGATTTGGTCAAAGAATATCTAGATAGAATACCAAAACCACTTAGTCCTTCCCCTTCAAATTTTTGCTTTTGTTAAACTGAGAAAAGGTATTTGTATGAATAAACTCTGCTTTGACCTAGCATTGTATTTAAATTCTGAATTTGATTCCAAAATATGAAGCAATTGCGTCCAATTCAGACTCTCCCATTTTTAGGGACATCTGCTCCCCACAAAAACATGAACAGGTATTTCTGCTTGTTGTGTCTACACAGTATTCAACCAGTGGAACAAAGAGCACTACATAACCCAAGCATGGTCAACAGGCCCCCATTTTCCAGCACTGCAATCTTATAGACCTGGACATAATACATTAGATTGAAGAAATACCTTTTCATTTGAAATCTGCAGCAGTCCTGTACTAATGGAGATATCAGCAGCAAGATGATATTCCATCCACAAAACTGCTCCATGGCTCTTTCCTTTCCTGGGGAGAGGTGGAAGATAAAACCTGTTACTTCATACATTATTGACAGCTTAAACACTGTGCTCATTCCTCACCCAGTTTAGGTGAGAGCTGTAAAAGCATGAGCAACTTCTTTGCTTGAAAAAAAAAGAAGTTGAACAGCTGAATGATTTGGTAATTGGGTAGCAACTTGTAAAGTATTTGCAGATATGAAATCTAAAAAAAGGCAAGGAAGAGGAGAATATGTCACAACTACATCTGCTCAAGCACAGCCATTTAACCAGCACTGAATACCATGGCAGGAATTACACAACCAACTCCAGAGCACTTCCCTTAGGGACCCCAATTTCTATTGCTTTGAAAGCTAAATAGGAGCTTTTTCTACAAGACGTCAGCATCAGGGAACAAACAGGAAGACTAAAAACATCCAATGCTTTATTTTCTCCAAATTATAAGTGAATATTTAAACTTTAAATTATGGTAATGTCTAGAAAAATGTTATTTTTGAAATACAGGCACCTAATAGTGTCACATTATTGTTAGAGGCTATTGTGAATAGCCACAGGAAATTTGTGCCAGAGCAACTACCACAACTTTAGGTCACATTATTAAAATCTCTCAAGTATGTTCCCACCAGTTAACTGCAATGCACGAAGAGCTTGAATACAAGTTAAAAATATGGATGATGACAAGAATATTTACTGCAATGAGAAAACTGACCGTAAAAGTTTTACAGAACCCTCTGTGCTGAGACAGTGCTGTGGTACAGTCTCTCTGAAGTCAAATGTCAGAACTGCCCGGGGGTCAGACAGTGACTTGCAAGGATATTCCCACAGAGGGTGAGGTTCTGCTTCCTTGGATTCCCTAAAATTCAGAGAATCCTGAAGAAAGAAAAGAATAAAATTATCTGAAGACAACTGAAAGGCAAAGTGAATGTTTTTAAGTTAATTATGTGTCCTGAACCCAAAGTACTTAAGCAATTAAGCTACAAGGACAGGACTGCACAACTTAGTCACAAGGATAAAAATGCCCTACACGCACAAACCCAACTGCTGTGACTAAGGCCCTCAGCAGTCAAACAGCAATGGGCACTCTCAAAATAAAATGCATTCCAATTTTCTTCTCCCTGGAGATGCATTCTACTCTACAACTCCTCCACAATGACTGTAAAGGTAACTTAAATGGTTAACTCAAATATGCATATTGCCAATACAGCTCTAGAAACTGATACAAATAAATCTCACCCTTCCTGCCTTTCCTCTTTCAAAAGCACCTGCAAGTAAGGGCACAGGATTCATCTGTGAGCAACTCCCAGATGATTTGATTTCAAGCTTCGAATAAAATTTTAACAATAGTCATTTCTTTTTGAATGAACAGAAGTATTTTCAAAATAAGGCAAAACCCTGAAGAACTTGACAAGGAAGGAGGAACACCTAACCCCGAGCCCCTGAAGTTACTGTTTTGCCAGAACTAAACAGTCACTGTATTTATGAACAACTAAAACAGTGGTGTTCTCCCTAAATGCTTTATTAAGCCAAGGTGAGTTTTTGTTTTGCTAAGACTTTTGCTGAAACTATTTTCAGTCTTCTTACTTTAATCATATCATCCATAGTCTGGACATCAAAACCTTCACAGATACCACATGGACTTCGGATCCTCCATAAGTCCTAGAAAAGAAAACAGGATCTTGTTTGGCTTTATTAAAGGAAACAGGAAATGTTAAAATAATCTGAGCTGTGAATAAGGCATTTGAGAGCAAACCAGATAAAGACTCTTTATTATCTGTACATTCCTAAACCATTACAACTACTGCAAGAATCAGAAGACAAAAATGTTTTCCCAAAATTACACTAAGTCAAGTTAATTGACTAAGTTAATTCTTTAGCCACTGTTTTCAACTCCTCTAAACTACCTGCCACATTTCTTACAATCTCTGTGCATAGTTTACTTTAGAGCAGGTATGGATTTGCCAAGATAAAACCCTTACAGCCCCTCTATTTTCACTACCCATCACACATAAGTGCTCCCAGTTGCTTCAAACAGATATAGCCAACCAGACTACCACCTCTCCCTAGAGCACTCCAGAGAGGAATGAAATCATTTTAGGCACAATAACTGACTTCAGCAATCCACTGCACAGACAATGACTCAGTTTAACTTTTGCCTTTTCTCAGACTGCATTAATGGTCTCCTAATAGAACACAAACACTGACCAGCCATGGATATATATATTTAATTACCTGTTCATTGCGGCACTTAATCTAACATGTTCCTGCTTTACAAGTTGGCAGCAGGACTACTATACATTTAAATAAATACTGTTATAATTTGTGCCTGAATACAGCATGAACCAGAGGGATTACCAAGAATCTCTGCAAGATACACCTGACAGAACTATCAAACCAGACTGGTAGCAGCCTGTTCCCTAGATGCAATTATGGACTAAAAAAGTTTATAACTGAAGTCATTTCATCAAATTCTTCCTCCTGGATCCAGCTTTTGCTAACTGCTTAACCATAGTGGCAGATCCATTCTGAAAAGACAGAACAGCCTACAGAATCAGTTCTGCAGAACACCTTACAATGCTCTTTCTGTTCCTTCTGTCTAACCAAGAACTGGTAAATGCAGAGGCTATTTTTAAAATCCCACAGATTCCAGTCTCTGAGTCTAGAGATGCACAGTGAACAAAGAAGAAAATGTAAAATCAAGGCAATAGCTTTAGGAATTACTTAATGGAACAAAATACAAGTTGAATGCTCTACTTCGTGGAATCCTCTCTGAACACACCCTGTGTATGAAAGTGTAAAACTGAGGTTCAGGTGACATGAACGTTATTCTACATTCTGCCACTAGATTGCTGAATAATCTTCAGTTACCACTCTGCAGGCTTTAGTTTCCTCATCCAGAACACAAAGAGAATAATGCTTACTTCCTTACAAGATTCTTTGAGTTCTAGAGAAGTAAATTCTCTAGATATGAGAGCATGAAAATAAAATTGCTTATTTCAATTTGATTACTGTTGATTAAACATCTGCTCCCTGTTACTAGATTCAGATTTACATTATTTATTCAATATGTATTTAAATTCTTTACATTTTTGCAGAAAACGGAAAGGTCTGTAAAAACATGAAGCACAGTTGATTAGCCCCAGAGGGAACAGGAACAAAAATATTTTCACATGCACAAATCAATGGCAGAAGTCAGAGAACAAGGTTAAAGAGCGTTCAAATAAGGAAACTCTTAAGGGAGAGAAGGCTAAGACAGAAAAACTACACAGCTGGTGAACCAGAGTGAAGAAAAAGGATAAAAAGACCTAGCATTTGTAACAGATAAACCAAAGGTTATGTTTAAATGAAAATTAACTTGATTCTAGGAGTTTTTTTAATTTATAAAGATGTCTATCTGGTTACACAACTTCCAACCTCAGAGTTCCCTCACTTAGCTACTGGACAAGAACTTTGCATATTTATGATGAAAGTACTTATTTAATTTCCATTGCCATTGTAGGTAAACACTTCACAATCCGTAGTGACCAAGTCCTTAATAACTGAAAAGAAGTTTATACCTTTGTACAGTTTCTGAAAGATGACTTTGCAAAGCATTTCTATGCTGTGCTCAAATTCAGAACTGTGCACAGCCTCAAGCCTTTGAAGAAGAGAACATGTAACTAAGAATCCTGCCTAGAGGCTTAGAAAGCATCATTTCAGAAATTGATATGCTGCAGAGTATCTATTTTATACATACATTTTGTTCATATATTACATATATAAAATAAAATATATTGTTTTATAATAACCACAACTGTCACATGCTTCAGCAATCTCTAAAGAAATATCTTAGAGCATTCATCCCTTTCATTTTAAATGGCAAATTACTTCAGTAAGAGATGGCTGAAATAGCAAAACTCACCTTCAAGATGTCAGATATTCTTTTCTCAGGTGGTAAGTACAAAACATGTTGGACAGTGTTAAGGCACAATAAACTTGTCATTAAAAAGTCCTGGAATAACAGTCAGTTTTAAGTGGATTTGTGTAAATATCAAATGTATACTTCTAAACAATCTCACCTGGAACTCCACAATCATCATGTGCAAGGAAGCAGACTGAGGTAGGACAGTGACATTGCTGGTAAGCTGACTGGTCACAGCTGTCCTGGCGTACCAGAAGTACAAGTTATGCCACGGCAACAAACTTGTAGTGAAAAACGGCTCTGCCACAAGAACAGAAATCTTGGCAAAGAAAGGAGGAGATAAAAACCATTATAAGAACAACTCAGTAACACAGGCTGTTTAAGTCTTCCAATAGCTACCAATGAAATATATCAAGTGAAATCATCTAAATAAAAACTTCTACGGCTCCACAAAGGCTTAATTACTGTATACTGCACACAGGGCACACTGGACATCTTTCTGTGGGTTTAGTTAGCAAATTATGAAATTAATTTTCCTGCAACAAAGGTTGAGAGAAAATATTGCAGTTTTTTGAAAGGCTTTGCAACGAGTCAGAATTTTGAAATTATTAATTATGTTAGCACTTCCAAATAGATTGCAACCTTCTTCAGTGGCTTGAGCTACAAGGCAGTTCAACCAGTTAAACTGCCTTAACAACTGGTGCAAATTAAGCAGCAAGGGAAAGTCATACCCTTCCAAAATAAAACAACAACACTCCTACAGTCTTTAGTCTCCTTTAGTTTTAGTGGCACATGGTCTGAACCATCTACATTTCCTGTGAACTGGGATATAAAGGGATACATGGTGGTTACAATGGCACAGCAGAAAAGCAAGATTCAGTTTTACCTTATGCTCTCTTCCACCCCTCTGAAGTTCAGCATACTGGCCAACTGTAGCATACCTTTTTATCTTCCAAATGAGAAGGCTTCAGCAACTCAGGACGTGCTTCTATTATTTTAATTTTATCTTCAAGATGATTTGCTTTAAAAACCTAAGACCAAGAAGTAGCAAAAGTCACTTCAGCAAAAGTCACAGCTGAGACTCAAACTCATACCAAAATAATTTTATTGAAAATAAATTATATTAAAAAAAAACAATGGGCAAAAGAAATCTTTAAAAATACTGCCTACCATAACTCATCAGGATGATACAAGTGCATTCTTGAAGGTTGGATGCACTTAGAGCCAACATGTCATGCCTAGTGAACTAAAGCACATTTCCTCAATATTCCTTCAAGTAAGTACATAGAAAGGCAGGTAACACACAAGTTGCCTCACCTTCATTCATTTGTACTTAGAAGGGCGTGGGAAGGACAGTCTCTTGACCAACAGTCACTTCAACTATGAGTACACTGCATATTCAGCTTCTTTTTGAGACCAGGTTTGGGACCCCATTTGCCTACCATTCCTGGTTTTGGCCTGCCAAGCCACAGGCTGAGCCAGACCTCTTTCAAATATACAGAGTTAACTGAAACAGCCACAGCCAAACAATGACTTCAGGAAGCTGCTTCCAGTCACCTAAGACACTATAGCTGCCCCTCCTGAACAGCCTCCACTCCACTGGCAGAGCCTTCCATGCAGCAGCTGTAGTGAAGAGCCACTTTGCTCTCTTCTAAGAGCAAACAGCAGAGCAGGCATTCCTAGCTTGTCTCAGCTGGAAGACCGAACTGCTAGATGCCACTTGTTGTGCAAGACTGGTGCAAACTATGGGAATCACTGACATTCCACTAATGCTCAGGAACAAACAGCTTGGCTTTTATCTCCGATGAAATGACAGCAGCAGAGCAGTAGCTCAAGCAGACCAGCCAACAGGCATCTGCAAAGAGAGATCAAGCACTGGCAACCAAAATTGTCTCTGCTTAGCTCAACCTCCCCAGTGGCCTATTCAGTTTACGGGTTTAAGCTGTGAGACTGGATATCTCTCAAACAGGATGTATTCCTCCCAGTATCTGCATAAAGCTCTGCACAAATACCAGGAACAAATAAGAACTCCTTCCCCCAACTCATCCCACCTCCCGCAGTCTTGTCAAACTCTATGATCCAATACATTCACTAAATTGATTTAATTTCCAAGTGATTGATACAAGAACAATCACAGGCATCAGCTCTGGCCTTGGAAATGCCATAGGTTCATCTACTGCTTTAACAGAAAATGGAATACTCACTTTTTCCATGACAGAACAGGACACACGAGAGTTTTCTAATGTAAACACCTAATGAAAATAAACAACAGTTAGTCAAACTAGTTTTATAGTTTTTAATTAAGAGAACATGTAACTGAACAATGGAGGAACGTTTTGATGCCCTAGTGAGCAGAGTTCATGAGAACGCTGCAGCTATTCCCCAGCCCACTCACAAGTACCTTTTTACCCACAGAACACTCACAGTAACTAGAGGCTAAATAATCCTGTTTCCACAGCCATGCAACAAAAAACTCCAACCGTATGCAAATATTTATTTTCCACTTTTAAGATGCACATGGCATGTTAACATTCGCACATATTCTGAACAAATGCAAACATTGTCAGCATGTCAAATCAACTTCCAGTAATGCTGGAATTCCTCAGGAGTCTGTTACATTACACATTCCCAGATATTCAGTCCAACTGTAATAGATTTTAGTTTGAAGAGCCCCATGACAGAACACATCAAGTGAGGTTTATGTAAGTGAGACAGCCAGGCAGCTCTCAGCTTGCATTTACACACAGGCTCAGTTCTTACTGCTCCCTACTTTGCTCTTACAGATCTTCCACTTAAGACTCAATAATAAATGTAGTTATGGAACTGCAAAGAGAAAGAAAAAAAAACCTGCCAGACATTTGGGTCCATAGAAAGAATATTTCCAGAAGCAGCAAGATACAGGATGGCAAACAGGAAGCAGTGGGGAATGAGGAGCAGCACTTTTATTCAAGGCTACACATTGGTAAATGTCAAAACTTGATCAGAGATGAATTCAGCATCCACTTCAACAGAATCTGAGGCTATTTCTCACTTGTCCCTGAAGTGGCACTGGAAATAGTTAAATAATGAGCTGGAAATGAACTATATGAGAGAAAAATACCAACCTAAAATGCAAAGATCTGAAAAACAGGATGAAGCACTGTACCTGCTTTGCTCCAAGATGGTGAGCCAGCACAGGCAGCAGACTACCATCACTGATACAAAGGCAAACACTATCTGTTTTCAGAACCTACAGAAAATAAATAGCAATTGTTATTCCTATTCCAGAAGAAAAGGTTTTCCTCACTTTATACACCTCCATATCAAACAAGGGTAAAAAAAGGCTCATGTAATCCCCTTGGCTTAGGCCTGAAAAAGTCTGCACAAAAATGTATTGGGTGTCTTTATTCAACTACCAATACTACTTCTAACAAATACACAGACCTGCTACAAATTCCTATGCAAAAATGGCTGCTTACAATTTGAAAATGTAATACCGGAGTTTTTGTGACAAAGAATATAACTTACAAGTGCTGACAGAAAAAAAAACCCCATACTTAGTGAGCAAAGACCTTTGCAGGGGAGAAACAAATTCCATAAATAATTACTGCAAATAAAACAATACATGTAACTATCACAGGAGCCAAAGAACCTACAGGCAACATGCACTCACTTTCCTCAAAGCCTTGATGTACTGGTTTGTTCGATTCTGATCATTTAATTCCCCGAAGCGTGGTCTGTTCCAAAGCACATGAGCGTGACATGTACAAACAGGACACTCAACACAAACATCTGCTTCATTCTCCTCTTCTCTTCTGTAATAAATTTCAATGGAGTATTAACTACAGTGTCAGTAACGTTTTTGCACACAGGTACATTTATGCATCTTAGCTAGTAGGCACATAATGCACACAAATTCTGCTGTTACTTGTTCAAAGTGACTAGTTCTCCAGGAACATTTCTGCAGCTTTGCTTTTCCAATCAAAGAGAGGCAAAAAACAAGACACCTCCAGCCCTTCCCCACTAATTGGCTATGTATTTTAGGCTTTGTTCTTTCAGAAATAAAAGGTTACTTGTCTGGATTCCTAAGTAAAACAGGCACAGCAAATTCAGACATTTTAAAGCTAGCACTGTTTTAAAAAAATGTTAGCTGCTATTGTTATCACAGCCAATGTGATTAAGCTCTTTTGAATCTGAGCAAAATGCAGTAATCTCAAAAAGACAGTGCTGACTAGGAAAATACAAATGGAGACAGAACGGCAAATATTTCACTCCCTTACCTATTTGCCAGCTCAGCTGAGCTGTATTTTAAGATTTCCAGGAATCAACCAGAAGTGGCTTTTGTTTCTCTGTCACAGAATGCCACCAGGTACAAGGCAGGTGCTAGCAGTCCAAACCTCAACTGTGTTTTTATGCGTAACGTGTATTTTTCACCTGTACACTGCCCATGAAGCAGCCCTTAATAATTTTCTAGTCTTTAGGTTATTATCTTGCTCTTCTACAAAAATAGATGCTCTAGGAGCAGCAAATACTTGAGCTCGGAGTAAAATAGCAAGTATTGTTACACAGTATTGTTACCTGGCTTTCTGCAGCTTATACCACACAGAGTACTGGTCACGGCAGGCAGTCAGGTACAGCTTCTCACCCTGCAGAACTGGCTCCTCATTGGGAAGGAAATACACACACTGCATCCAGTGATCTCTCCACTGAAACAGGTCGATACACAAAACCTTAGGAACTCACTCAAAAAATGCAAACAGCAGAAAATCAATTAGGAAGAATGGGCACAACTCTGATGAACTGATGCAAGATTAACTGAAAGAATCTTGGTCACGTTAGGAAGGCTGAATAAAGATCACTACCTTGTACTGAATAAATGTATTCTACATAGATTTCTCCAAACAGAATGAGCCTGAGCCCACTGCCTTGCTCACTAGCTAGACTTCTATTTCAGCCCAATGAAAAACAAACCCCAAATTGCTTTCTGTCTGTTCATGCTGTTTCACCTCTACGGTTCACTTCTGTTAGAAACCTGAAGCGCTGGCAGTGACCTGTGGTTGAAGTCTCGGCATCAAATGAGGTCACTTAGTGTCACTCTGATGACAGCACAACTATTTTGTGTTTCAAAAAGCTATTTTTAGCACTGCAAATATTTCGTGCTGACCAGTCATTCTAAGCTCACTGAATGCCCTGAAGCTTGATGGTTTCAAATTTTATTCTCAAACACAGTAAGTGCAAACAATCATTTTCTAACTTCCTTCTGACTAAGTTCACCCTACTAGCAAATACATTCACACAAAACCACAGGAATCTGATTCAATGGTGATCACCTGTTGCTCCAATTATCCACTATCAACCCAGCATTTTCCTACACCAGACTGTTTTAAATTAGACCATAAATATATTACCATAAACTTAACACTTATTTGGAAATTTAATAGAAGAACTCATGGAAGCAAAACACAGACTAATATTTTGACCAGGGATAAGAGACTAGTTAAGGAAAAATATATGAAAATCTTTATTTCCTAACATTAATAGAATAACAGTATTTGGAAGACAGCTTCAGTTTTTAAGATTTACATAAAGCCCACTCTTAATACATTAAAGCACACCTGAAACAGACACATACTGTAGCTAACATTTCTACAATTTCATTCTTTAGCATCTTCCAATAAATTAAACATTAGCAAAGTTCCTATGAGTTGCTTAAAACACCCAGAACAGCCTTGACTCAGAGTAATTGCTGATAGTCATCTGCCAATAGTATCTGAAGGCTCAGCACTTTACCTGCAAAGCAGAAGTGGGTTTTACCCAGTAGGGAGCCATCGTACAATTTATCATCCCAGAGGGGTCCATGTCA